CATCGACGATCGTGGTCGATTCAATCAAATCCTCCAACAGCCGTGATCGTCTAGTGGTTAGGACCCTACGTTGTGGCCGTAGTAACCCAGGTTCGAATCCTGGTCACGGCAATGTGCCAATAAACGCATTGTCACGGCGGAGGTTTTCATTTTTTACTTTCTTCACAAAATTTTGATAACAAATATTTCAAGGTGATATTTGAACATCGTTGCAAAATTTCTAAATACATTCTATTCATCAGAAGAACGAATTGTGCGGAATTGCGCGCAAGAAATTTCCTGTTGAATCAACAGGAAGTCCTTGGATGGATTTTTATTTGCCGCTTGTACAAGCATCGCGAGCCGGTGAACTGCATCGTGACAGGTTCGTTGGAACATGTAGCACGTTGCGGTAGGTCCTTGTCACGGGAACGATAAATCTCCCATGGATTCACCAATATTTGCGCCGAAGACAAGATGTTGTCTTTCTCTCGTTCACGTTTCCTAGAAGCTCTAGCAAAAGTTCCTCCTCGACGCGTTCGTTCTCCGAGAAGAAACAAATTGACTGTTACACGTTGCGCGTAGATAGCCAGAGGCAATAAATTCATTAAGTATCCTCGATAATACCACCAACCGGTAGAATTTCATGTATTTTTGTCGTGAACATGCACGTTGGTTCCGTGGACCGTGTCCCATGGCGTAACCCTTGCAATGTGGAGTAACATGTATGACGAAGAAAACGTTGCACTTGAATTGTTTTTTTTTTTTAAGCAAACCATCTTATAGAAGTGGAATACAATTATCAGGTCGTAAAGATTTTTAAACGGTATAAATTCGGCAGAAAGAAAGCTGACCTCGAACTCGTTGAAAAATTCTAAATATACTTGGCTGTCGATTGGTCTCTTCGTTCGGCGAGGCTCGCATACAATATGAACGTTAAATCGTGTTCCTTGGCACAGTTCCATCGTTTTCGTCCCCGTGGCCGACATACGTTATCATCTCGTGGAACTCGATTTTCAATCTTGTCGCGTGCACACCATGCAATACACATCCTCCCCTCCCCTGCACCTTTGTTGATAACAGGGTGTAAATCATTAGCCAATATTGCAATTGTTGGATAACATGTAAGAAGAACGAAAAAAAAAAATTAATGGTCCCTGAATTAGCAATATTTTTAGCAGTACTCAATACAGATCCTCCCCTCCCCTGCACTTTTGTTGATAACAGGGTGTAAATCATTAGCCAATATTGCAATTGTTGGATAACATGTAAGAAGAACGAAAAAAAAAAATTAATGGTCCCTGAATTAGCAATATTTTTAGCAGTACTCAATACAGATCCTCCCCTCCCCTGCACTTTTGTTGATAACATGGTGTAAATCATCAGCCAATATTGCAATTGTTGGATAATATGTAAGAAGAACGAAAAAAAAAAAATTAATGGTCCCCGAATTAGCAATATTTTTAGCAGTACTAAATATTTCTTCGAAAAACACGAACATAATAAAATCACGATTACAACGAATGAGTTACAAGATCACTCGTTAATTTCACCAGGAGAGTGCTTGTAAAACGTCTCGTCTTACGAAAGAGATCGAGGGTGGCGGTGAAAAAAGGTATAGGATGATCCTAAATGAATGGCGACGTTGTTGAAAAATTATCACGAGCATTAATTATTTATATTGTATCGTTTTAATTATTAATAACCGCGATAAATAAGTATCACGATGCAATTATAAGAGGTCGAGATCGCCGAAAAGGAGAAGGGTGCGAGGGGGTGTGTTGAGAAAATAAAAAGGAACGAAAGGGGGCTAAAGAAAGTGATTCGAGAGGAGAAGGCGTTTCGATTTATTGGCTTGCGTGTTGGAAACTGGTGGTGCTTGTTAAACCGCTTTTACAGGCGGCCAGATACCTTTATCATCGACTATAAATTTCGGCAGCGCCCCGATAGAAAGGATCCACGTTCGTAATTGGCAATAATTCAGCTGGCAGCTCGCGGGAAACGAGTATGTCGATTCTCGATGCTTGCTTCAGGATCGCGTTCGACCAAACTGATAGCCGGATCAACGATTCTTCGTGCTGTATATACAAATTGAGACGTTTGTACCCGGTTGCTCGTTTGGAAATCGCGCAGATTCGAATCGCACCTTTTCTACACTGTTATTCAGAAGTTTCTAATTAAGAATTGATCGATGGTAAGTCAGGAAGGTTAGGTTTGGATTTAGGTTTAGGTTAGGTTTAACCTAACCTTTAGGTTACTTTAACTTCCTGGTAGAAAACATAAAACATGGCTATTATGTAATTAGGTATTGGGAAAATTAGATATTGGGAATTAGGAATTAGGTATTGGGGGATGCAGATAAGGTAGAGATTCTTAGGTAAAGTATTAGATTCTTTTAGGTATTTTTAATCATTAAATAGCCAGCCATGAATCGCGAGACTGGAAAGAAATTATCGTCTGCACATCTCTAATCTGGTTCGACAAGACTCTTAACGAGGGTTAAAAATACGAGGACGACAGGGCGAAAGCCATGGATTAGAAAACCGGATTATTTATGCAGAAATTTCACGCGTTCCTGCTCCCGATTCGCTCCTAATCCTCCAAGGATACGTATCCCGTTGTAAACTCTCTTCAAGGTGTCGTCTTTCAACGCCCACCAATCTTCCTTTTTATCGTTGCCAACTCTTTGCCAAATTCGATGAATTTACTCGTACAAATCCTATAATTTGAGAACGTACGCTTAACACGTGACGGGCTAAAAGTTCGTGTACCTCTGTTTTCGATCTTCTTTTTACCCTTTCAAGTTCACCCTGTCAAAGGGAAGGGTTCGCAGTTGCCCGTCGTTCTTCCCGTTTTTTCTCGATCGTCTAGGAGGCTAGAACGCGTCACGTGCCGTTGTAGAATCTGGAAGAACCGGATGCAATCCGCGGTGATGGCGCGTAAAAGATTCATTTCTTCCTCGAGTCGAATCCACGTGGAAGAATCTCGGCGCAGACCTTCTATTTTCAACCGAACCCTTGGATCGTCGGGATGACAGCGACCCTTGTATTTGCTCTTTTTTACCCCGTCCTTTCGAACCCTTCGCTAGCATTTTTTTGGCGGACGTCGAGGCAATATCAATTTGTATAATGGCAATCGTTTGGAGTTGCAAGGCGTGCCTTGAAAGATAATAAAAAATATTCTACATATATCCATGAAATTGTTAGATCCGCATAATTGTCACTTAACTCGAGATCAAGTCAATTTATATAATTCCCGGAATGTACCCCAGGTCGTTGAGTTTCGCGTGATACGTAAAGATAAGGATAGTCCTCGTTATTTGGTACGTTGTTTCATTTCCTGGATGGAAATCGCCTAGAGTTATGCAAAGTGGCTTTTGGCTCTTGTACCGTGTTCTTCGAGAAAAGTAAATAACCCGTATGGGGTCGAATTAAAAAGAAACTAGGATGCAAAATACACGCAAACTTTAATGATTCGTAGAATCGAACAAAGTTGCAGAAATAGTACACTTGGACCATAAGTGCGCTTGTCTCAATCTGCGAGATCTGCAATAAACGTTTAATCGACTTCTAACGATACATGATGGCTTTTGCATTAAGCAAATGAGTCGGGGATAAAGCAACGCTCGTGCATATACAGGGTGCCCCCGCTTTAGTGTTATAATTCCGTTATTCCGTAACTATTAATGATAAAAAAAATTGTTCATATGGAAATTGCATGGAAAAAGGAGGCCTATGTTTTGGCCGAAGTGAAAAATCTTTTGCATTATTAGTTTAAGAGATATGATGGTCAAGTTTCGTTTTTCAAATGGAACTATATATTTTTTTCTAGTTCATGTGATAGTGCTTCTCAAGACGAATTCATTAAGCTTTAATGTATACACTAGATTTTAATTAGTTTTCAAGATACAACGTTTAGAAATTTCTCGATTTTCAGTAGATACGTCCTGGTTTGAATGGCAAGTCGTAAAAGCGGCCCTATTATTGCGGTAAGTGCCATAGCGATTATTCTTTGGGTCTGCCGTTCCTAGCGTAGACCAATATCACCGCCTCAAATCGAGACGTATCTACTGAAAATTTGTAAACGTTATATTTTGAAAATTATTTAATTAAAATCGTCCCATTTAAAAAACAAAACTTGACCATCTTAAACTAATAATGCAAAAGATTTTTCACTTCGGCCAAAACATAGGCCCCCTTTTGCCATACAATTCCCATATCAATAATTTTTTGTATCATTAATAGTTACGGAAAAAGGGAATTGTAACATTTAAGCCGGGACACCCTGTATGTATAGATAACGATATGCGGACTTTCTGAGTGCAGAGGAAGTACAGTAATTAGTTGATTACTCGTTCTAACAAGGTCTGAAATTAAAACCTGAAAAGTGGCAAATAGTTTTAGTCAATAATAAAAAATATAGAAGATTACGCGGTCGTTTCGAACATTTGCAATTTAGTTTATATTTAATAGAGTAACTCGATCGCTGCTCTTCAATAGCCATTTATTCTACTACTGCAGTCAGGAACTTAAGAATTCGATAAAGCGAAGGCATGTATGGAGGTGGGTGTACGTCGCGGGATAATAAGTGTCGGCGGCATACAGAAACGGTTAACCGCAGAAGAAGACGAGTCCCCTTGCAATTACGAGAAACCTGATTAAAACGCTGCCGCGCAACTGCCGTTAATTTCACGTGGAACAAGTAGAAAATTGAGTTTCCTCCTGCGGCTAGAAAGGATGTGCATCGAGTGAAAAATCAACGAACGATCGACGATGCGGCAAAGGAGATACATAATGCGACCGCAGCGAAATTTCCTCAACATAGTTCGTTCATCTCCTTTCTGCTTTTTATTTTTTAAACAATTATTCTTCTACGTTCACGAAAGAACCGATTGAATATTTTAGAATGTGATTTAGCGAATTGATAAAATGAATTTAATTCAAGGAGAGAAGGTATGGGATAGTTTCATTAAATTTTGTATGGAACCGCTTGGTTGTTTATTAAAATTGCAACTAGTACAGGGCGATTCTCGTAATAACTCGTAATCGTTCGAGAGTGAAATCGAACAGGGTACATCTCGGGAGCTGGTTTACCCAGTCGCAACTCGTTTCTCTTCCTTCCGTTCTATATAAACTCTTCTTTTCTTATTTCAATAAATCGTAGAACGTTTCAACCATCAATTTATTAAAAGTTGTCAGACCGTAATCGATAAAATACATTGTACAAATTGTTAGTGTAAACTTATTCATATATAATCGTTTTACTTATTAAATTGATTAAATTATTCAGAACATAGAACAAAGAATAATGGATATTGAAATTTCAACGAATAATTGCTTTGCCGTTGAAAGAAATAAATGTAGATAGAATTGAATTTAATCGTCCGGTAAATTAGATGCAATTATCTGAAATTTAACGATGAATTTAACCATGTTCTCGTTTACATTCAATATCAGGTTTAGCAGTAATATAAGCACCAATATCGTGACAATCATGGAAGGAAATTAGAAGGGGTGTATTTCGCGAAACAGAGAACCGGAAGCTACGTGGAAGCTCGCGTTCTCTTCTATGCAATTAATTATACTTGATGGTCGGTAATCAGCTTCGATTAAAACCGCCTTTTAATTAAATGCAATTACTATTGATTAAATCTTGCGTGGCGTGTGTACAATGCGACGGAGGGAATCTTTTCTATCCCGATCGACCGATCGCGTCCCGGGTATCCGTCGATTCATCGTTCATGCTTCTCCAATGATCGAATTGTTCGATCGGCCGATCGGAGGATGCTTGTTCTCGTCTCAAAGTCGATTCGGCGAGGATCGCGTCGTCGGGAACCAAACGAATCACAAAATTGCTTCTCCAATAACGACGCCATCGACGACCGTGCAATCTAACGATATCGATGTAAAAATTCGAACTTTCATATTTAATTTAATTAACATACCTGCCCAGAGTTATTATCCAGCCCCAATAGGCGACCAAAGTTAGGGAACAGGTTGGAAGCATAGCGACGATCATCCATGGTACATTGTGCAATCTGTTTTTTATCAACATTCTTAGAGCCAGTGCGCAAATATAGCAAGAAAACAGAGCCAACGGTGTAGTGACAATTAGATAGAGCACATCCAAGAACATCTGAAAAACGAGCGACGGTTCTGAATAAAATCAACATCTTTAGATTCCAGAATGGTTTTGTGTTACCTGTCGGGTCACTATCACGGTATTGAACCATATCGCGATACTCCTGAAGATGTTGTAACGCGGCACCCTTTTAGTAGCGTATTTGTAACCACAAAGCTCGCACCTCGTGTGACCCGATTCCGTCAACCATCTCTCGAGACACTCCGCGTGTACCAGGGCCACTGTTCCGCGACACCTGTTCGATCGTCACCGGATTAAGGTCAAGAATGGAACGGTATTCCGAACAATTTGTCTCTATAGAATCTAATAGAATCTAATTGAATTACTGTGTCGAGTTTGAAACCCCTATTCCCAACTTGTGATTCGTGTAATAGTTACGAGCCGTGATTCTTTCGTGCCAAGTTAATTGAAAAGATCGTCAACGTAATCGACTCGTGCCACATTCTCCCCCAATTCGAGAATACTTCTAATCGAGTACAATAAAACAGAAGCCAGTTCGAAAGGAGTGTAGCACTCTCCTGTTACAAGAGTTGTGTTTGACAGTAGGCTAATCTAGATGTAACCTAGATTCGAGTTGAATCAAATGCAACTACCGTGGGCACAACCGCGTTATCCGATCCGGTGAAATTGATAAATTGCGCTAAGTATTGATAAACTCACTTGCAAGCTGAGATCAAAGGACCGAGATACGAGTAGGAGGATATTGTCGATGTCTCGCTGTCGACCTGTCCGACAGTTCTGCTCTGTCTCGTACGAATCCCTCGATCCTCCTCGTTCCGCGGATAACCGCCCATGTGACATATTCGACAGATATCGCCTGAGATACGAGATTCTAAAATACAAATATAAATAATTTTAAATAGCGAATGTACTAATTCGAATCCTAGCGGCCGAGATGTTATCACGTTGGCAGATGACTATAGCGTCACTTTCAGTAGCGAAAGGATTAAAAAGACAAACTGAGAACTCAAATTATTACTCCTCGAATTCCAATACGGGCATAAAGCGCCTGGTTGGTGTAGTCACTCAGGTTAATTTTTTCGGCCCAAAATCAAAATTCCTTACTCCGACGAAGAGTCAAGTGTTGGGTCTTCCGGAACCGAATACAATAATTGGTAAGTCCCATGAATGGACAGGTTATTGTCTAAAGTGAGCCTAGTGGGGTTAATAACCCGCTCTATCGTTCTCAGTTTAGCTTATACTGGCTGTGTTCAAGGGTGCAATTGCGCTAAAATAAAAAATCCACTCCCCAGTAGCCACCACCCCCAAGTGGCGCCGGGTATGGATAAACGTCTGCTCATGGACTTGCTAAAAAGTTAATCTGAGTGGGTTAACGACTCCACCCATCAGGCGCCTTACGCCCGTCCCTATGAGTGGACATTTTATCCATCCCCGGCGCCACTTGGAGGGTGGTGGCTGTTGAGGGGTGGATATTTATATAGCGCTATTGCGCCCTTTAGTGATGTGCGGCCCGACTAATGTCTCGGGTTCCCGACTAGTCGGGTCGGTTCGAAAAACATCGGGCGGGCGTCCGATACAAGCGTGCAGTCGGGTGGCCTGACTATTTCGGGTTCGGTCGGGTACAGTCGGGCAAAGTCGGGCGAGCTCTCGCGGGCCGCAGCCCGCGACGCAACTCTCATGTACTTGTTAATACTTGCAATAACCATGTGCAAAATCGGTTTTATATGGAATTTTGGAGTAAGATAATTTTTATTATGTGGAAAAATAATACTTGGAACGAATTGCAAGTATTAACAAGTACATGAGAGTCGGGTCGCGGGCCGTGGCCCGCGGGAGATGGTCCGAATCTGCCCGACTGTACCCGACCGAACCCGGAATAGTCGGGCTACCCGACTGCACGCTTGTATCGGACGCCCGTAATATCGGGTACCCGCACATCCCTACACTACCGGTTAAGCTTCGGAACGGCAGAGCGAGTCGTAAACCCCACAAGACTCATTGTAACAATCACCTTAGAATTCCGATCATTAAAATGTTAATGATGGATGACCTACAGTCATCTTTAGTACCGTAAGGGTTAAAAGTCTGGCAATAAACATAGGTACCATTATTGTTGTCCTTCGAATCGTCCTTCGTTATGTAACACTGTTTCTGATCGGATGTTATCTCTCGAAGAATATCACGTCTTTCCACCACGACGTGCTTATCTTCGGGCTGATCTGAAATGAGAAAAATTAAAGGGTGAACCATGACACGAACATCGTTCGGCCGTTTTCTAACCTGTACCGTTCGCGATATCGTCATCGAGCTGATCGGTGGACATCAAAATGGCGATGGTAACATCGTGTATCCACGTACCCTAACGTAGCAAATTTTTCGGATGTTTTTATTTGTCGCGATGGCGAGGATCTTTATTTTTGACGATACATGGGCACCGATTCCTGCGGGAAGCAGGAAAGCTCTCCGCAGCCTCTGACAGTTGAACAACGACTAAAGTCTCGTTCACACTGACAGAAACTTGTCAATCCAGCGATAGACCTTTTTTCGTCCTCGCATAAAACTTGATGCGTACTTTCAAGCATATGAAAATTAATCCTTGTTTATATGAAAATTTCTTATTAAAATATTCTCATATTCATATTCTGTATATGGACTTTTTATCGCTATACAAACTCTTACGCTAGAATCCGATAGTTTGCGTAGAAATGGAAAATTTCATGGTACAACATCAAAAACGCGATACGATCATTTATTAAATGGCCCAATTCGTTGCGGTTCACCTGCGGTTACCGAGTAAAGTTATGTATGTATATACCAGCAATAATGTGTCTTCGCCATCTCGACACGCTCATTTGCATGAAATTCTACGATCATGGGCATAAATTTTCAATATTATATATTTTACAATTTGACTATTAAATGCTTAGGGATTCGTTAAATAGCAGTGTGACATGGTTGGTTGACACGAGATTATACCGCGTTTATGGCTCGAAATAAAATTCAATCCGATGTTGCAATCTTGGTACAAGCTTTTCCACGGAAGTGGGCAAACTTCTCATCATATTTAACACGTATCAATTCGACACGATCCCCCGATAATCGCCGCTCGAACGCACGTACACGCCTACAATAGCGCGCGCGTTCGAGCGTAATCTGGTCACACGAGTTTAACATCCGTATAGAGACTTGCAAGCTTGTCACGTAACGTTTCCATGCTATGCAATATAAACGTGTATCGGCTTTCATCCACGTAGCAAGAGTGTACATGTTGCAGTTAAATGTTGTAACACAGCCTCGTCCTGCAATTTTAGCACGTTTGCAGTCAAACCTGCACCTATCATCAAACGACGACACGCCCATTACGGTTAATCAGCTACATATAATAATCGATGATTGCTCCGGTAAGATTTTTTATAGGTGCCATCAATTTCAAACGATTTACAAATTTGTTGTAAATTTGAAAGTCACGTTCAATCCCTTGGATTTAGATATTTTTTAATTAACCTTCATCTCAATGGAAAGTTAAATTCGTATGTAAGTAATTTTATCCTCGAAGCTTAAAAATGTGCATTCTTCAATTGCCACGTTTGCACGAAAGATTTAATCAGCGTATCCTTAAATTAACTAAATAAGTGGTATTCATAATTCATGGGATGGTTTCGTTTAATTCACTTAATGAAGAGCCCCTTATTAAGAGGAGCAGTGCCAAGTGAGCAAAATTTAACAGAGGGACGAAGATGATCCAGGAAGAAGATCTGTTTCTGCACGAAGGGCTCCGTAGCTCTAATTAGGCGCGTGCTCCGGCGAATTTTCAACAGGAAGTGGCAACGCGTGGACACGATAAATCACCAGGACTAGGGCGATTACAGCGATTTCCTGAAAATCTTACGTGTGTACCTTGATGAACGAGACACGCAAGAACGAACGAGATTCGAGCTTAATATTTCCGCAGTCTAGACACCAGGTATTTGGGAAACGGTTTCCGGTCCTGAAAATTAACTTAGCACGTGATTATTATTAGATTGTTGGTCGCCGACTTCCGGTCACCTCATTCTAGATTTTATCAAATTCTTCTACTTAAAATACTTACTTCTTTTTTTCTTTTTATCATTTTCAAAAACTACTTGATGACATAAAAGTGTTTCGAAATAGTATTTGTAGTATATCAGATTGAAGCTTAAAATTTATCAAAAATGTAGAAATGCCCCATAATGGAAAAGTAATTTTCGTGAAATTTCAATGAAAAAGAAAATTTAGAAGATGAGGAAACATCCTTCAAGAGAAATCCAATCAGAATTTCCGCGTTGAACGATCAACGAAGAGTATGGAGCTGGAAGCATCCTCTCGAGAGCAGGTGCCAACTTGCCGTTTATTTCTTTATCGTTTTTCCTTCCTCACTCTATCCCCTGGCTATCTTACTCGTGTCCAGAGCGAAACGTCAAGATGCATTTCCACGTCTTGATATTTCTGCCAGGTGGCGAGTTAGACGGCTTTCTGCTCGTTTTCTGCTCGACGTTTTTGGTTCAAGATTAATCAAAACCGTCTGGAAATAGTTTCAGACCGCTGGCCATCATGCTTTCCCAGGGATGGAAAGGGGCGTTGGTGGACAACGCAATTCGGTGGCACAACATGCGATGTTAATTTTCTTCGTCTTCTTCCTTTTACCAGGGAACGCACTTTACCAATGAATGCACTTAAAATCGTTGTTACGACTATTCTGGATTGAATTTTCGTTTCTTTCATTTTCAATGTTCAACCTTACTTTCTGTATAAAGTAGCATTCTATAGTGTATAATATAATACGCAATATAGTATTCTGTTATCAATATTAATAATTCGAGGGCCATTATCACTTATTCGAGATTTTAATATTCACTGTTTGTTTAAAGTGAAATTGTATATTCTGAAAATTTTTTTTAATTTCTGAACAATTTTTAATCTTCTAGTGTTAGAAGCAGTTCTAACAGAAACTTAAGCTTTATCGCAGAACGAAAGTGACCGAAGTAAATGAAACTCGGGGATGGACCAAGGCTGGGTCATGTTCAAGCTGAATGAACCTGGAGGTCCATTCATAATCGATCTACTTACCTACGTGATTTCATTTGGCTAACAGTGCCAAAAACCATTCATTGAGCACTGATCCTCCAGTGTGAATAACCTTTTAAACAGTTGGACCCATCGCAAATCTTACATGCGTTGTCGTCTCTATCTTCAAATTACTATTCCCTTCAATTTAAGCTTTCCACTCGATAAAATATGTCTTCAACATAATAGAAATATTTAAATTTTTTATTCTTTCTTTCTCAATTATTCCTGACGCCAATCATCAGCGATGTCCTATGTTAACCCTTTCGGTCACGACTTATTTTTTTCTTGAAAAAAAAGTCGAGGCTCTGCTCAGCAGTTCTTTGAATGAAATTATGATTTTTCAGTTGTATAAAATATCTCGAAGGAGGTCCGGGCGGGGGGGGGATGACACAGATGCGAATTGTCCAAATGAGGACATTATGATTAAACAAACTTTTGGTTTTCACCTTCAAAAACGCACTTTTCTACCCAAAACTACAATTCTGCTTGTATCCTCAGAAAACTAAGTGGGCACGGTTCACGCCAAAGATGGGTGACCGTGTGCTATTGGCAACCGAAAAAGAAGAAAGTAATGCAAAATAATTGACAAAATGTTCGTTGGGCAAAAGAGGGGCTAAAAAGCCCCTACAAAGCGCCATTTTGGGGAAAAATACCCCGGATAAACCGGTTCACAGTTTAGTGTTTTTTGTGTCAAATAGAATCTATGGTTATGGCCATATGAGGACAATGTTTACAAATGGTAAAATTTACCGAATTTAGATAATATGTCAACCATTTATATAGTATGTCCTCATATAAAGATGCCATGACCGAAAGAGTTAAAACCATAATTGACCATCTCGAGTTCCATTTTACCAATAAAATTCTATTCCAAGGTAGAAGCAACCGGAAAGGGCGTATCAACGTCAAAATCGTTGGCGAAATGCAAGAAACAAGAAGCGAAGCAGCTCGACAGGTCCAGTTATCGGTGCATTACGATTCCAAACGACATCCAACGCTAAATTTAGCGATGGAATTCGCGCGAGCGAATGCCAGTCTGAAATCGAACGCTCTTCGATGTTCCGTCGCGAATTCTTTCGCGACAAAATAGCAGCGCGAACCGGCGGACAAACACAACGTGGAATTTGTTTAACGCGAAAATTCGATGTACGGAATCGGATGGGAAGGAAGGGGCTGTTGAACGCAACCCTCTAAAGATAGCGTGGAGCTCGGTTCACCGCGGGCCATTTTCCTTTCTCGTTTTCTCGTTTTCTTGTTCTTTCGTGGATCGCAATTTATAGAAGCACTCGGCACCTGTCACCTTCCCTGTGGCCAACATGCATTTCTCCACAGCAACAGGAATAGCTGGCAAACAGGGGACAAGTAAAAAGAAAATGGTCACAGTGGTGCTTTCACCCTTCTGTTTTCGTGATTATCGTTAATGGACCCGCTGGTCCATTTGCGGAATGACAAAAGGAAACTTCATTTCATGACATAAAACTGTCCCAAAATAGCACTTGTGGCATATCAATTTGTAGCTAAAAGTTTGATAAAAATCACTGTACAAATGATTAATACGAAATTGGATAAAAAATAAGTCTAACCAACTGACTGCTTAGCGAATATGCAATTACCAATTACTCGAAGAATGCAGAGAAAAGGCGGCAAACGCGATGTCCGATGGAAGAAATAACCTGGTGCAATAAAAATTTGTTGAATAAAACACGAAACATCGTGTTGCGGATCCGTGTAGCTTGTTAACGAGCTCGATACTCACGGTATCGTCTTCATGACCGGACAATTCATATGATAATATCGTCGACACGCGTTTTTTGATACAACGTAGACTCGTCTCGAGATTTTCACCGTGTAAAAACTGGTTCTGAACGAAGCGAAATACTCGGATCAAATTATTGACGGGGATAGTTTAAAGGATTTCCTTGAGAGATAAAGGATTTACTTGAAAATCCGTACCGCATATTTTACGTTGAAATTTTCATTTCTCTACATCAACAACTTCTGTTTCACGATAAATAATCAAATCTAATCAAAAATACAATCACCATATTTGCATAAAATTCCACAGTCTATTTTCTGTAATAGTGCACGATATTAAATATCGATGTTACTCGTAATTAACACTTCCTATCAAGATACAAGTACATACAGAACCGTACATATGTATCGATAAATCGTACACACTGAAGCGATTAATCATAATTAATTAAAGAACATGGTTGCACGGTTTGTAGATTGTTATTAATGAAGCATTTAATGAATGCAAGAAAGCAGGGATCATTATATCGGTTTAATACAAGTTGGTCTCTTCGAGACAGGATTAATCCAATTACCATGGTGCAGTCCTGAGAAAGGATCTACAGGATCGAGATCGATCGTTGGCGGACGCCTTCAAGGACAACCTTGAGTAGAGACTAACACTTGCTTCACGTGTTAACAAACCATAACCAATTAAAAGGAGATTTCGAAGTATTTTTTGCTCCTGCTCGTTGGCTATCGATCATACTCGAGATCCATCCCGATCCTCGTAGATCATTCGAAACGAGAATCATGTTAACACAACGAACAGACAGACAGTTTCGTCGTTAACTCTGGAACCGCCTCGTTTTCCTCTCGTTTGGAAGATGCATTAGCGAAATTTTAATTGTTCGATAACGATCAAGAAATGGAAGCGTTTCAGGTAAAAATTGAGTGAAGATCGCGAGCTGGTACGAATCTTCTCCACCCCGTTCACTGAAAGAACAACATCGAGAGGCAACGAGCGAGCCCAGATGGGTGTCGCTTTACGAGCGACCGTTTTTTTTGCCGTCTGTGTTTGCGTTTGTCGTGTAAACGACACGAGTGCCATGTCCAACGACACGCGGGTGGCATTTATCGCCCCGAATAATGCAAACTAGCCTTGCCTGAACCCGAACCGCTCGGTAGTTTCTTCGGAGGGCGATCGTCGTTGGATGGTTTCCATCTTTAGATACTCCACCGGACATATTTGTCTCGTATCGCGCGAATAGAAAAAGCTGCCTCATCGAGCGTGTTAATCGATGCACGGGGCATTACCGGATCAATATTCCAAGGAAATAGTGGCTGGCTACTGTGTAATAAGCAATTGAATCACGTAAGACAAGCGCCGTCGCTAATGCTTAAAGACGTCGACTCACGTGGCCAACCACTTCCTGTTAATGTTCCGTCCGCTGCACCGTGTACTAACAACAGCCTCTGTGTCTTCGCTTTGTTACCACTCGGATATTACAACGTGAAACGCGGTCATCGCGATATCCTCGAGTTCGCTACCATGCCGTCTACAGGCTGATCCATAAACCCTGGAAAAATGCAGAAGCGGATGAGAAGCGGACGGAATGCTATTGGGGGAACTTGCAAAGCGTATTACAGTTAAATGGAAGGGAAGCGGACTATGAATGAACAGCGAGCGGATCGAGTCACCTTGTTCTGTCTCCTAAGAACATCAACGATTAAACCGAACGATCTCATAACTTCTCCCGGTCTCTCAAAGTTTCCGGTTCTAACACAAACGAAGATACCCCGTGTTCGGGATCGGATCGTCGTTCCAGAAACAGTCACCGCTTGTTCCTTTCTTCCCCTCTGAACAAAAGTATTAGATTCCACGAAGAGAAAAAAGGATTGCAATCGCAGTGGAACGAGGCTCGATGTGCGATCGAGAGGCAAAAAACGTTCCGAGGATCGATGCTTTTCTACCGATCACTCGATTCCGCGTCGAACATTTTTCTACGCGTTTCCTGTGATTTATCTAACTGCCTGTCGCTGGACACGATTTCAGAAGACGGGGATAGAAATAATGGACAGGCAAGAAAGAATCGTTTTGGTCATCTTTCCTTTCAGGAAGATCGCGGTTTGCGCTTCTTGCTGTTGCCACAGAGATTCGTTCCGCTCTGTTCCGCTTTGTTAACGGTTCCGTTGATCGAAGGGAAGTTATCTAGAGTAAATTCAGCAAAAACCTAGCGGATTCTAAGGTGCATTGAAAACAAACCACCGCGAGACGCAAGATAGCCTCGATTTTCGGTGCTTTCGACTACGTAACAGCCGACGATACACGCGACAAACACGACTGAATCCTATTTTTGCGGATGCACTAGACAGTTGGACGTCTCCTCCGCTGATGCTATTTGCGTATCATCGAGGGACCAACTATAACACCGGTGCACCGCTGTTTTCGTTCCCGGTTCTGTTGTTTTTCGACCGGTGACGTGCCTGTCCATAGATCGAAAGGTTAGTGAGAGAAAAAGATACGATATTATACGTGACACGAAATATAAGTTTCCGAATGGCCTCACTAAAATTGAGAACTCAAGTTCGGTATATAACTTAAATTGGTTGCCAGAAACTGATTAAAACTGGTTTCAGAGCTGGATGTCTTACCGTTTTTGAGATATCGTGGTACAATTTTGTACAATTTTGGGACTACGTATGCGCTGTTCGGTACTGCGCATCCACAGAATCTAACCTAATCTAACCTAACCTTACCACGATATCTCGAAAACGGTAAGACACCCAGCTCTGAAACCAACTTTAATCGGTTTCTTGTAGTCAATTTAGGTTATATACCGAACCTGAGTTCTAAATTTTGGTGGGGCCATTCGGAAACACAGCCAACACGATTTCTTTTCTGACAGAAAGCCGAGAAACAGTTGAAGATAAATAAAAGACCAGCTATTGGTGATTACCAAAAAAACTAAGGCTAGAATTTGTCCCAATTTCATGGGACACCTTGTATGTTTGAACGATTCCTTTGGAAGGCTTTTTCCAAGAGCGAAAGCCAGTACCTACACCTCGTGGAAAGATGGTCAGCCGACAATAATAGTTGGTGTAACGTACGATAATACATCGGCGAGGCCTTAGGAGAGTTGATGGAATCCAAGCATGGCGGAACGAGCGTAGTTGTAGGGCCAGTGAACCGCGGAATTTATAGTCTAGGATGGTCCGTCGAGCGGGGTTCGCGGTCGAACCACGATGTCCGAGTTGCCTCGTAACGTTCACCGCCATCTGAAATAGACGACACTAAGCGACTCTAAATGCAACGCTCGCGAGCTGCGTGTGTCATCGTCTGGCCACGCTGTTACGCTTTCTCTCCTGCAACAACTGTTGCACACCCTAACGAACCTTGCCGGAATATAATAAGAAGCCGGACCATCCACCGCAGACGCTTGATTCCTGGCCAAATTTATCTTTTCCTTCTTTCCAGACGTTCCAATGCTTTCTCTTTGCTCTTTGTACTTTGCGCTCTGTTCTGCGGGCTTTAGCCTTCCCTCAGTTATGCGAAGGGATTTGATATCGTACAGTCTTTAAGAAAATCTCAGGTGTCTGAAAAGAAAATAACAACCACCATCCGTAATAGTACCGATATGCGAGTCAAAAGATTTCGAAATCTCAATATCTGAGGCAATATTTTAAAGCTTTTCACTGAAGGGGGATCGTAATTGTGCATCATTCGCCCCTTACATACAAATAACAAGTTCAATTTTCGACTATGCAGATTATTTTTGATGAAAAATATGAGGAAATTTTGAGAAATTAAAGATCTAAGTAAAAAAATGATGCAGACGATTACATTTAGTGGTAAAAATTATCCATTGTATGGTGGAGAACGGGGACAAAAGTAACAATTTGACTTTAAATTACGATTACGCAAAAATTATTACACTTACAACAAAAATGTTCGTACCAAAATATTACATAGTTATTTGACGTTAATAAGTTACAGCAATTTCGCTTTATAACAAGTAATATTCAAATTATTAATAAAAAATGGAGACCGGGGAAAGTGTTACAATCATCCCTAACGGATGATCGGTTGTAACACTGCATGAAACCGTAACTAATACAAATCTGTCTTTACAAAATTAAAATATTTATTAATATAAATTATAATAATAAATGGAAAAAGGTAAAATTTGTAGTGAATTATTGAGTATCGCAATTACAGAAAATATAAGGAACGTTTTGGCTTCATACGCCCAATCTTTATATTGGCTACATTGAACCTATTTTTCATTTTGTTTGTTCGTATTGTAGGATTTCATATAAACAAATCGTTACAATTGTTCTGCGTTTGGATTTACATTACAAATTTTCACTAAAAGGACGCTTAAAAGTGTTAACTATCACTATTACACTCAGAAGAGTCAAATGAAAGATTAAAAGATAGGATAAGCACTTACTTCACTACCTAATACATTGTGACACATATCAAAACGTCTAAAAAAAAATTTGTCTGCGTCAAGATGTTGCCCTCTCTTACCATGCAATGACCACCAAAGCAATTTCCTGTATCTTTAATAATTTAGGAAATATTGGAGTGTTTCCAGTTACGCGGGACACACTGTATATAAATTGATATCATTTTAATTGGGAAATTTAAATAATGCAGAAATTTAATTTTCTTTATAACTTAAATGTGGAATTACTAAATAAAGAATAAACACGTTGTCCACAACGTATTTTTTAATAATAATATTATCTTCGATGTAGTATTAATTTGAAACATAGTTTATGTAAATTACTATGTAAAATACTGAAGTTACATATGTGATTGTATACAAAAAAAGGAGAAAAAATTAAATCATATTATGAAAAATTTATAATAATTTATTTCAGATTCCGTAAACAGTTCTTTTTTAATCACAATTGCGTATTTATCTTCAAGGCATATTCATTTTTTAATTAATTCTTAATTAATTTAATTTGAATTAATTAATATTAATTGCCTATCTACAACTTTTAAATTCGTAAAAAATAATTTTAGAAATTAAAATAATTAATATTTCAAATCGAGTGTGTATCGTTAGAACATATTTGTGTGTACTTTAATTGTAATTCCGCATTGTATGTCCCTTTGCGATAATAGCTGTAATAGATTTTGAGTTATCTACAATAATACTTTCGCCCCCCTTTCCCCTACATATATCAATTTTGAAATATAAAATTGCCAATGTCAACGCAGTTCCCAGCGAGCTGACATTTCATCGAACGAAATCGTCTCGCGAATCGTTGATCGTACAGTGTCAAAATCCGCCACACCCAAAAAAGCATATCTCAGGATCAATCTGGAATCACTTTGAGAGCCGGTTTCATCCGACGTAGCTTCCCACCTGGAGCGATACAATAAAGACATCCTGTAAGACGTCGAGCAATAAAGCCTTGTTTCTCTAGCGTCGATTTCCTGGAAATCGAAGGATCTTCATCAATGCGAGGTAATTTTCTTTCCTACGAGGTATAGCTTGTTTTAAATTACTTTGAAAATAATGACGGCAATAAGATCGGTCAACGATGATCCGTAAACGCGGACACGAAGACTGTGTCCTTCCTGGGATACTGATGATTGCTCATACCTCGTCCAAGAAGGAGAGTACACGCAGTGGGATATCCTGGAACCAACTGATTCGTTCTGGAAATTACTAACCAACCAGAATCATTGATTTAAATCGTATCTCGCTTCGTGATCTGTTTAAATTACTGATTATTATTACAAAAAAGAGGCATTAGAAATGAGGAGTAGCCATCAGCAACAACGAGCAGTAGTCACATAACGTTGGGTCGAAACAGGTCTAACCGTATGTCACCAGAACGTGAGCAAGAACCGCAAATACCGATATCCGAGCAGCATACAGGCTCGATACCCATGGCAGCTGATCCCAAAAGCCTCGTGCCGTTTTATTTAAAGAACACCGTATCGTTGGTTGGATCACGGCGAACGAACGCTGCCACCGGTCTAAATCCGCTGTCCCGTAAATCATTGGACCGGTTTATGGTGTGCACACGCGGAACGCGTTCGAAGGCGCGTGTCGAATGGTTCGCCCATGAAATCCTCCTATCGATCAGCGGATCCATCGATACTCTTCGCCTTAACTCTTAACGATCCACCAATCGTTCGATCGATGATTTACTCGATGTTTACGGATGTTTGCTTTCGGTTCAGACGATCCGAATTGCCAATGATTTACATAGGTGCTTTTCGAAGTGAAACTTCGCAACAACATGCTCCCCTATAGATACCGAGGATCCGTCCGGAAGATCGGCGACGCACGGTATTTTGGTTCCAGTCCCTTTGTCTCGAGTGGAACTTCGATCCTTCTTAGAACTATTTTACTATACAAACATATTATTTAACACCTAACCTATCCAAGTCCTTAATATTACCAGTACCATAATAAATTCCATGTTCCAACTTGCATCATTACCAACATGTTGGTATTACGTTCTAATCTTAAAATATCCCTAGCATTCCAACCAATTGCACGTTCCAAACGTTCAGCCTAGTAATCCCGAAGCAAAGTAACCAAATAACTGGTTGAAAACACAGCTCCCTTTCCGTGAACAGGCACGCCATGGTACAGCAAAATAGCAAGCACGAGGGCATAGCTAAATTCGCGTTCGCGTAAATCAGCGTCCAGCACGTGCTCCACTTGAACACGTGCTCCACGAAAGGTGCGTACACGCATTCACAGCCCGTTCCAGACCTTTTTAATTATTTTCTCCGCCGTGCCCGTTTTACCGCTAATCTATTTGCATTTCGCCCGATGGCATGCGTTTTCGAGAGTTTACCCTCTTCCTCTTTTTCAAAAACCTCCGTCATTTATACAATAGTAATGGAGAAGAAAGTATGAATATTTTATTTTTCGATGTAGAGAGTCTCAGAATAGACATAAATAGAAAAATCAAACCGAGAAATTTGTGGAATTTCATACGGAACGTGCTGTATAAATATAAATATTATAGACATTACCTATCTTCTGTTTTTTCTCTTTTTCAAATTTGGCCTAATAGAAATTCGGGTAGTAATATGAGACAATGTTACTTTTCAGAAAAATAAAGTTGTAAAACTAAGATAGAACATTAATAATGATAAATTATACATAACAGCGTGATAGGCATTAAATCCACAATTCCCTTTCAGAAACTTTTGAAAATTTTTTATCGCAAAATAGCACATCGCAGATATGTTCATTTTATTATTTAGTAATAAATTAAAAAATGTAATAGTAATATAAGCATGTCTTATATTGCTACCAATTGCTATTTATAATTATTTATCATAATTAAAACACAAATACTTTAAATATCTTTTGACGTACTAATACTATGATTATTATAGTATAACTTACCCCTTTTGCTTTTTTAAAATTCACAAATTAAACCAAAATAAATTTCACTTTACGAAACAGACGTAGTAACTTTCTATTACGGCTAAAAGTTAAAATGTTTGTTAAACAAAACAATGATACTTATCAAGAATGGTTGTTATGGGGGAGTATTGTACCCGTGATAATACTTGATATACAATCATTGTTAATAGTGTTAATACTACATACGGGTTAAAACCTTAGTATCTCATATTTCTACCCTATTTCATATTCGTACCTTCTCTACTCTGGCGGGTACTGAAAGAAAAAAGGAAACGACGTTAATGTCGCGAAACTACCCGCTAGACGGTTTGTCTGCTCGAAACCTTGTCCCGTCTGCCCTTCAGGTTTGAATTTAGACAGAGACCAATTCTAGGAAAGGGCCTGTTCCTCGTCGGTACCCTCGTCATGCGCTTTTTTGCAAACTGCCACCGAAATAGCTGAAACTTATTAATTGATAAATTGTTTCAATCTGTCGAGCAATGTCAAGAAGATTTTCAAATTCTTTTCAAAAACTCAGCAATTGAAATACCTATAAAGTTTGTTTAGAAAGGGATAAAAGATTCTCAGGAGAACTTGGAAAATTTAGTTCCGTCTCTTTTACGTCGTTCCGGATTTTTTCACAGATTTGTCACAGCGGGAAGAAAAATTGTGAGAAAATACAGAAGGGAAGGTTCTACCCTCGCTATGTGTACTTCACGATTTAAATAGAACCCAAAGCGTATCCTGACTTTAAAGTAATTTTTTCATCATCTTTTTTTCTTTTCCACCCTCGAAGAGTGGCAAGAGAATTTCAGAGCGGCGTGAATCTTAATTAGCGACGCCATCGTGTGAAAATTGAGCGGCGGTTCATTTTCTTTCTCCGTTGTAGAAATAAAAATATTTCAAACAGTGGTGTAATAATAGAATTTAAAGCTGATACAACGTTCCTTTGTGTCTAAGGGTGCAAAGGGTTAATCTCAGCGTAAAGGCGGCAATTAAAACATGAAAATCCTTATTCCAACTCGTTACCTGGTTCATCTCCGAATTTTCATCATCGTGAACGATATTCTCCTCTCATTAGGGACGTTTGTCAGTCACCTCTCGCCCCTTAACTCCACTTCACCCCACCTCTTCTCCTCTACTCGCATTTTCCAAAGACTATTCTCGTATCCTCATTATGTTTCCGTCGGGCTAAAAGAAGAGAGAGTAGAATGGCGAAGAATGACGACCCGTTGGCCACCAAACGTTTGTTTAGCTTTTGAGTGAAAACGGGCCACCGGTGTCGTTGGATAAAAAGAAATGGCAGGGACGAAAGTGGGAAGGTGTTAATTGGACGGCTGTCCAAGTTTTTGTAGCGCGTGAGCTTCGAGGATGTTCGGTGCAAAAATAAGTAGCTATCAGATTGATTAGATATATAATTTCAAATTAAAGAAGTTGACACTCGATAAGGCTGGAAAATCGAATTTCGAATTCCAGCAAAAGCGAAACGTTTCTTTTCTCATTTCCAGCATGGAAACCTAGAAGAGGTTGGCGTCGCCACACGTGTTGTCGCGTCGCTCGTGCCTTCTTCGGCTTCCTTTTTATTTCTTCGCTTCAATAGGACGCGTAAGGACGTCTCTCCTGACGCGTGCAACCAGGGACCAAGTTTTTTTTTCCAAGTATCCTTCTTTGATTTAAGCTCTTCTGTTCCTCGTTTCACGGGCCCCTTTTTTCTCTCAATGCTAAATCATGTTTTCTTTTAGCCTATTCATTTCACAAACCAAATGTTTGCTCCGCACAGACAAATTCTCATTGCATTTTTTTGCAAGTGTAATCGTCCGATCGCGTGGGAAATAGTCGCGAGTCAAACCAGGTCGACTTTCGAAACCGATCGATTCTCATACGGTATTCTAGATACAGTTTCCAAGAATCTAGTGAAACTGGTAGAAAAATTCGCGAGAAAGTCGGGAGAAAATCGTATATCAAAATGCATGAGCTTCTTGGTGGAATGAACTCCACGTAGACGGAGGACAAGTTAAAGCAATGAACTATTAATTATTTTAACTAATCAATGAACCTACAGGATAAGTCAGATAAGGTATTACAAATTACTATATCAGAAACTATAGCAGCTATAGGCCTAATTCCTTTTTTAAATTAAATGGTAGGACGTTCCTGATTATGTGGTGTACAAAAAATTTTCTGAATGGCTACCATGGGGTCAAATTAAGTATAGGATGCTATACTAATTTTTTTTTATTTAAATAGCTTTTATTAAGCTGGGTAACACTCAATTTTTAATATTTCTCATAGTTAACAATACATGACAAAGGAAATATTCAAATAGCGAATACGCAGAGGCCTCAAAGGACAATTAAAGCTAAAGTATTTTGTCACAAAATACATTTTAATAAATATTGAATATGATGACCATTTAGTTGTAAACATGTATTTGAAGCATAAATTAATGGAAACTTCACTTACCGCAAAAGAAGATATGCAAACTGGATTACAGAATGCTTGTCAGTTGGTAGATGCAACAGTATTGTCTGATGCACGTCATAATATTAAGAAAAGAAGAAATACACGTTTATAAGTAAATAGACGTCATTTGCAATACTTAACCCTCAGACGGCGGACCATGGAGAGAACCCCAATTTTAATTTAGTTTTGTATTTCAAATTATTTTCATTTTCTAAATTTTACACTACTCCTTTAAAGATTATTCTACTAATATATGAAACCCTTTCGTTGCAAAATTATATACAGGTCCTCCTACAACACGGCATCCTATAACACGGTTTCACTCTAACACGATAAGAAAATTTGCGAAAGTGGAGGTGATATCGTTCAACCAAAAAAACATTCTCGTTTGATTATACATACTGAGTAGTGATGAGGAAGAAATTTATTAAATTAAGGTTACATTAAATGAAAATTGTTGATATATATATATATATATATATATATGTTTATTAATATTATGATATATATGTAAGTATTCTATTTATATAAGTATATAAGTATTCTATTATTAATCATACGAATAATCTCCAGTTTTCCATCGAGACTTCTTTTTGACGCACATTTCTTTGTTCACTTATGGTTCTACATCTAACAATACAATACCACTGACAATACTACCACCTTCAACCTCTAGTTACTTTTTGTCTTTTTTTACTCAGCCTTGCTCAGCCTACAGATGATGCTCTTATGATATAAATTTACAAACTAACAAAAATAATATTTTTTGTCTTTTTTTTTCGTTTAGTGTTATACATACATTTATATTTTTAATAAAAATTAAGTTGCTTATATGGAATTAAAAAAAAATGTTTGTTTTTAATAATTTTTCGAAACATAACCCCCCTTTTTGTACTGGCTCTGGGTCTCATAACCTATCTACCGTGTTATAGGAGGGTTACCTGTATTTAACTTTGTAGCCATGATAAATTGGAAACACAAGGAATCTGTTGGACAGACAGGATTTATTGAATTAGCTAAGATTACATGGTCAAGGTTTAAGATACACTTGCTTTCATTTATTCGTAGAAGACATTTTACAATTAGCGTAATGTCCATAATTCTCCCGTTCGATAGGCGTCAGGTATTATCGCCGAACTCTCCATATCAAACTGGCGGGCGTCCAGAAAACTAATTCTATGTACTAGGGCGTCCAGGAGATGCTCTATATTCTCTCAATCGATAGGAATCGGTCCAGGAATTATCACCGTACTCTCCTTGGCGATCGAGCGTCCAAGAACGGTTCTCCCGTACTCTCCCTTTTTTCGGTAGACGTACAGGTATTATCGCCGTAATCTGTCGGAGTCCCTAACCTGCCGACCAAGAGCGGTCGATGGTCTTACCTCGTCCTCTCTCTCTCGGACAACAGCAGGCAAAATTGTGCGGGTCGGTCGCGAGCCCTATATTTATATCTATTCATTGCTATCTGCGGCCGCCTTAATCAACGATCGCGTTGTCAAGAATGAATTTGACGTTTTCCGCGCTCGCGTTTCGTGGCTTTGCTCGCGCCTCGCGTCTCCGCCTTCCGCGATAGCCTGTACTTGACCTTTCTCGAAATTGTCTGGACGCTTCCAGACCGTGTCGTTTTCGCGAAGTTTCTTCTACCATTGTTACAACTTTAAGTTAACATCCTTATATACGTTTTGTAAGATTGGGTCACGATTGACCCAGGCTCCGCTGTTCAAGGGTTAATAAAATTAATTTTAAGGCGAAATATTTGCACCTTCAATATTTTCTTTGCCGTAAATCGTGAATTATTAGGAATATCAAAAAATGGTTACAGTAAATGTTATTCAGTTTAATAAAAGCTATTTAAATAAAAATAAATTAGTATTACATTAGCTATTTTAGAAAAAATTTTTACGCACCACATAATCAGGCATGCACTTTGTAGTATTTAATTTAAAAAAAGAACTAAATCGATAGCTGCTATACTTTTCGAAATAATAATTTGTAACATTTTTTCTGACTCACCCTGTATAATGAAAATGTAAATTAACACGTAGACTGCAAGTAAAAGCTGTTGAAAATTTCATTAAATAATTCTAAGAAATATAGTCTATTTCATTTTCAATTGGCATTCTACTCGCTTAGCCGTGTTTGCAAGGAGTGGTAAAAGTATTGAGATTCCGAGTAATAACGTTTATCAATTCCAGCGGGAGATCGTCGGGTATTCGTAGCATCTGCGAAGCGGTAGCAAAGTTGCACACTCGAGTACACTTTTCTTTCCTCCTTCTAGTGCAGATGGCGATGGTTTCTCGCTTATACGGTGCCGCTCGTAGATCTACGATTGCGTTAAAATTACGACGAATAGATTGGCCGGTGGTCGACAAAAGCGACGTTTTGTCGCGCTTACGGTTCGTGTGAAAAAGCACAAGAATGCTAACCGAATGGAGGAGAAGATAAAACGCCAGCCGCTTTTGTTACTGAATTTTCAATACTGCATCCGACTCGAATTCCTTAGGGATCTTCTGAATCTAGATTGTTAACGTTCCTTCGCTAATTTCAAGGGAATTTTGATGAATTACTTTCTTCATTCCATAAAGAGACTTTAGAGAATCAGACCAAAATCAATATTTCAACTCTATGTACCTTCAAATTTGATTTACCATCGTTTTTGAAATGATATCTATCAAGTTTTGGCAAGCGTCTGGGTCAATATTGTGTCAGAGAATTTTTATACGTGGACGGGGTACACGGATCGCTGGAATTCTTAAAATTACGATGAAATTGCGCGAAATAGATTGGCGATGCTGGCAAAACCGTTTCGTCGTGCTCACGGCTCGCGAGAAGAAGTCGAGGAATGCAGAGGATAGATAAAAGAAGAAGCGAAGGAAACACGTGCAGTTTTCATCGCGGGAAACGGGGATTTCTGAAGCCTGTGAAGGGAGCAGCCGGGTAATAGAGCCGCGAAACAACGCGTCCAGGTTAAATGAACTCGTTAATTGTTCTTCCGCAATAGAGCGTCGCGACGTGCAGCCAAGTGCATCGGTTTAAATCCACTTGTTACCGGCCAACCATCGTCATTTCTTCCTGAATCGTTCGAATAGAGGAAGTCTTTCTCCACCCTTCCATTGGTAACACCAAATGGTGGTAAATAAAAGTTGCGTTTATATGAAAACTATTAAAAATTTGCAATTTTCACACGGAATCCAATTATAGATAAGATAGGCTAAATAAAAAAAAACGGTATTATACTATAATACAAAAGCAATTAACTCATTCGTATTACTGGCATAAGTTAAATATGAAAAATTAAATGAAGGTGGTGTAATTATAAAAATGTGAATTCATTTATGTTTCAACCCAAGATGAAAGTATCAAAGGAGATTGTAAGGGAAGCCAGTGACAAACCTGGTTGTTTCTGTTAGCGGTTTCTCAAAGAAGAAGGGGTGAAGTCGATGCAAAGCGCGACGGTTCATCGTTCCACGAATAATAAGCCGTTCTTTTTTGTCAGTAGTGTAACAGAAATGCCGATGGCCACACAAATCTGGCTCGTTTGATCTCGCTTGAAATAGTAAGGCCGCACACCGACAACGTTTCTCTTTTCTTTTACCCTTCCCTGCATTTTTTCCACTGCATTTTTTAGTAGTAGTAATTTCCTCATGATGTGTAGAAGTCGTATTAATATACACATCTCTCCATGACGATTTTAATGCATACCAATTGTAAAATTAAATATTTTTCAAAAATCAACGGCATGTCAATATTTTTTTTTAATTCAACCCAGCGCTATCCACGGCCTAAACTACTCAACAACTTGCCGACTAATTTTCAGAAAAGTAAGTTAACTAGAGGCACCATCTATTAAAAACCGGCGGAAGCGATTAAACAACTTACCAGCCGCACCAACGAGATACTGTTAAAGACTGCCATCTCCTGTGTTAAAGTTCGGCACGCCAAGCGGGCCCATTGGGCCTGGGGTACGATCGATAAATAGCAATGATGGATAATGTAGAATAGTGATATTATCCATTGTACCGCCGAAAAAAACTGTTATACCACCAACGAGATGATTTAGCTTTGTCACAGTACAATAATTATCTCGTCGGTGCTGCTTGGAAAACAATTATATTTTACCTTATAATTGTATTACATTCTTATTATAATACAATAATACAATTATTGTAATAATCGATATTAAATAAATATATGAAAAATAAGAATATTTGGTACGTAACATTGTGAAAAAAAATAGAAGAATTGAATAAAAAATAATTCGAAAATTACTGTTATATTTATAAAATAATTTCTTAAACCAAAAATATCATTTAACTGTTAACAGAGATTCGTCTCTTAGCATACTGTTAACAGGTGGGCACTTTTACCTTTTTCACAGGTAGCGGAAGTAGGCATTTTTAACAGAGAATGACATACATACTAAGCGCTTAGTGTATTCCCTTATTCTGCCATAGTGAACAGAGTCGAACGTCCCAAACGTTTGAAAGTTCGCGTCCTTGCATACCCCGCGCTGACACTGGCGCACTCAAGGGGGGGCTAAGGGGCTCTAGCATCCCCCAAAGAAAAAGGAAAGAGAACAACAGAAAATTTTCCAAAATCTGTTCCTAATTAAATTAGTGTTACTGTTTATGTCACATATTAATAACACTGTTTTTTGTATTAAAAATATTTTTATTCGTTCAACTTAGCTCCCTCCAAGAACAAATTCTGAGTGCGTCATTGCCCGCACATACCCCATCATGGCCCATCATTGACTGTCCTTTCTTTTTCAAAGTTTTATGGCAAGACTTTATGACAGAAAACAGACCCCGAATATTCTGAAAGGTCGCAGACTGTGTCAAGCAGTGGACAAATTTATATGTACTATTGTGGTAATTTTGGATATTTATTTTTTCGTGGAATACAAATCTAACACTGAAAATACCGCGACTTAGTTACTTTTACAATTTTTGCTATCAATCGCACCGTGTGTTGCTCGACTCACAATCAAACATGGAACAACGGTTCTTGCTCATTACCGATCATTCGTGGCATTATCGCAGCATATTCTGAATAAATAAATAAATATAATTCAAACTATATCGTGTTTGGTATCATTTTAATCAGAAAAATCTCACCAATGCGGTAGTAAAAGTTTCATTAAGAAAAAGTTAAAAATAAAAAAGTTTTATCATTGAACTAGTTTAGTCACACCGATATTACAGTTCGGATCATATTACACGGCTTCCTGGTCGAGGGTCTCGGTTCGCCTAGGGGGATCCCCCCAAGTGGAGAGGATAGCGAGTCGTTGCACTTATCCAGCCAATCTTGTGTTACACTTATCCAGCTTTTACTTATTATTAAATAAAAGATTTTATTGAAATACATTTCTCTTCTTTTCGACACCTGTTACTTATTATATTATTATGATTATTACATTATTATTATTATTGATTATATCCTACAGAACCTATGTAATATTTTTTATTCATTTTTATTTCTAAATGATTTCTAAATGAAATTAGAAGAAAATAATTTTTTTCTTGGATCTGTAGTCACTGGCGTCATGCGTCGTGTCACGGACACAACGGATAGGCAGAATTCAATGCGATAGTTTCGCCAGCTTTTCGAAAATATCTCTAAAACCAAAGCCGAGCGACGGTTATATATTTAGAAAAAAGTTGTTCAAAATGTTGATTTCTACAACATATTTAAAAATCATCGGAATCGGAGGTGCCGTCCGTAATCTAAATAATTACCCATTTATTTTGAACTATTTTTAATGTTTTCATACAAGGAAAAATGCTACGCATTACTGGTACTTACAGATATAATAATGTAAGAATCTGTCGTGTGAACGACAAAATAAAAAGTAGTTGGAATAAACTATACATTTCTGTTATATTTTAACATTCCGGTTTTTAATGAAGATTTGGCAAAATTTCATTAAAATATAGGAACAATTTACATTTAAAACTCCTATTACTTTACAATCATTATCACAGTGATTACAATTCAGTTAAAGTACTAAACTTTTAATTTATTTTTCAAATTTAAAAGTAAAAATAAATGCGTAAACGGTAAAATAACAAACATTACTCAGTCATTTTATAAAAACATACAATTACATTAAACTATATTACACGTACAACTATATTACATATACAATTACATTACATTATATTTAAACTTATATATTTTTAAAACCTGCAGATTATGTTTCAAAAAAAAAAAGTAAATTGAAACTTCGATATCAATGTTTCTTTAAATACATTAAATGAGCAGATGCAGGTTGCCTTGAATCTGTAGCGATCATTTTTCGCTTAAACGAAACTACGCCTCGAATTTTCTTTTTCTTCTTCATTTTTTGCATGTTTACAACAGCGAACTGAGTTGTACTTCCACAGGAACTTAACGACTCGAAATCTTCTTCCACATATACATTTTCTACTTCTTTAGCATTTAAATTAAACATTGAAGGGGATGATAATATTTGATCTTTTATCTTTGATAATTTCCTCTTTTTCAGTGGTTTCGATGGAACGTCAGAAAAATTTTCAAGCAGTTCAACAGATAGTCGTTTAATACCCCTTGTACTTTCTACTTTATTATCTTTAATTTTTTGCTTTTTGGATTTTGGTTTTTCATTTTCAAGTTCTATTTCTTGCGTTCTTTTTTTTTCTTTCTTCTTTTCCTTTTCTTTATTAATTTTTATACTATCAGTAACTTTTAATGCTTCCTTTAGTGGTTCAGAAAATTTAACGAATGTTGGTCCTTCATCTGAATCCGGCACTATGTCCGTAGATTGTTGTGATTTATTAGATTTTTTAACAGGTTTTACTTCACTTTTTGTATCTTCTGCCTCTTTTTGTATCTTCTGTTTCTTTAACAATTTTTTAGCTGAAATGTTTTTATCTTGTGAAGTATCATTTGGTGATACATTTTGTTTCTTCTTAGGTAATTTATTAGTTAAAATTTTTTCTTGTGAAGAAGCATCTTCCGACACTAATTTTTTCTTTTTCTTAGGCAATTTGTTAACTGCTGTTTCATCATTCTGCACAGCAATGTCTTTTGATAATTTTTGTGTTTTCTTAGATATCCTGGTAGTTGGAATTTCTTCATTTAACAAGGCTTCTGAAATTTTCTTCTTTTTTTTCTTCTTTCCTGATACTTGATTTTCTGAACAAATATCTGGAAGATCTTCAGTTATTTCTTTTTCCTGTTTCTTCTTTACTTTTTTAGGTTTCTTAGCAATTTTTATCTTCGTATCAGTGACTTCTTCGTGTAATTCTTCTTCTTCTACATCTTTATTAATATCAATATGTGCTATTTTTTGTTTCTTCTTCTTTTTCTCTTTCTTCTTCTCTTCATTTAAAGATACCTCTTCAAACTTTTTATTTTTATCAGTATCAATGGTAGAAACAACATTTTTATCTTCATTTACGATTTGTGATTCTATATCTTCAAAAAAACTGTCTTCAATTAATATAGTAGCATTACTTTTCTCCGCTGTTTGTTTTCGTTTTTTATGCTTTTTCCGACGGTCGACTTTTAAAATATTGTCGGCTACACTGAGAACTTTCTGTTTTAACGAAGTATCTAAGTCTAGTACTAAATAAGATGTCTCTGAATTTGGTGTATTAACGTTTTCACTTTCTTCTTTGAGCTGGTTCAATGCATTATTCTGTTCATCATTATCATTGGCATCTACTAATTTTTTAAATACAGTGTTCAACTTTAATACTGGTGCACTTTCATTTAATTTGTCTTTTTTCAAATATTTTGTTGTTGGTGTGTCACTATCGGGAACTAAATTCGACTTATTTAAGTTTGCTATTTTAGGAGACAGTGGTTTTGAAAATTTCGTTTTTTCCACCAATTCCTCTAATCCACATGAAAAACGTTTATCTACCAGATTCTCTTTACTTTTTATTTTACCTAATTTTTTAAAAGTGTCTTTTGTTTTTAAACTTGTATCCTCAATTTTATCTATATCCAAAGAAGCATTTACTTTACCATCATTTGTATTTTGTGTCTTTATGCTGTCATCAAACCTATTTGACTTAGGTAAATAATGACTTTTAGGTGTACTGCATTTTATCATTGATTTACTAAGTTTCTGATTTCGTTTATTAAATATTGATTGAGAATCATTAAATGACAACTCTATATCCTCAAGTATAAATTCACTTGAAGCGTGCTTTTTCTGTTTTGTTGTTTTCATTTTAAGAGCATTTGATAACGATAAATCGGATAAGTTGTTCTCATCTTCACTTTTTTCGCTTTGAGATATATCTACTTTTTTAAGCTTTTTCTTCCTGCTAGTTTGAGTCGTGCTTAAACGATCAGATATCTCTAATTTGTTTTTTTGTTTGCTAGAGGTATCTATTAATTTATCTACATCTTCTTCAATATTTTCTCGTTCATTCTTATTTTGTGATTCTTCTTCAGTCATACCTTCTTTTATTTTGTCATCAATTGCATCTGGTTCTTGCACTTGCATTGCTTCGTCTTGTTCTTTTATTTTTTTTTCCTGACTTTTTTCAGTGTCTTCATCAGTATGTAATTCTTCAATTTCAATTTCTTCATTTACTTTCTCTCCTTCTTCTTCACTTTCTTCATTGACCTTCTCTTCTTCTCCTTCACTTTCTTCAATTTCAATTTCTTCATTGGCTTTCTCTCCTTCGTCTTCACTTTCTTCATTGGCTTTCTCTCCTTCGTCTTCACTTTCTTCATTGACCTTCTCTCCTTCTCCTTCACTTTCCTCATCTTCTTCAACATCATCAACAATAAAATCGTCAAGATCTGATCCATTATCTTCTGGATCTGATGATTCCGTTTCTGATGCTCTGCATTCGTCTCCTCGTACATCATCATCGGAAAACTTAGAAATCTCTTTACCAGCAAGATTGTATTCTTTTTCAATATCCGAGTCCATACTTTTATCAGATTCGTTACTATCAATATTAGATGCTTCATCTAACATAAATTTAGGTAACTCTATAGTTTTATTTTCTGAATTACCAGATTCACTTTTACTATCATCAGAATCTGATTCAATGGTCCTTATTGCTGAACGCTTTCTACTGAATTTCTTTTCAGCATTACTCTTCTTTTCAGAAATACTGGAATCTTTAGATTCATTTTCAGATTCTTCTATACAGTTTCTTTGTTTTCTTGAAGAAATATTTAAGGACCGTTTCTCTTTATCTTTTCTAGCTGATTTATTTATGACACTTTCACCTTCCATTTCTTTTTGAATAGATTTATTTAAGGATTTCCTGCTTACATCTACTTTAGAGGTTAACTTGTTAAGCGATTTTCGTTTTTTTGTAATACTTTTGGACAAATTCTCTTCCGCTTCCATTGTTTTATGAGATTTGTTTAAATTTTTTCTTTCAGGTGATTTCCAACTCGAAACATTATGTTTAGAAGTGGAATGCTCATTCCATTCCTGATTTTCATTTTCTGTTTCATCCTTAAAATCTTTCATATTTGTCGCTTCGTTATCTATGTCATTTTCATTTATACTTGTGTCTTTACTATCATTCATCTTGTCTACTGATTTATTCATTTTCATTTTTTCATTCTTCTGTGCTTTTACAGAATCCCTTTGCATTTTTAACAGAACAGTATCATCCGAGTTATAATCAGAGGCTTCTTTCTCTTTTGCTGTTTTGATATTTTCAGCAGCCAACCATGCTTCTCTGTCAACTAAAACAAGATCGCATTCAGTTTCCATTTCAGTTTCAAGTCTCTCTGTTGACATTGAATGTATTGAATTCTTATCAGTATCATCATTCTTTTTTTTCCATTCAGCAGATGGAATATCTTGAAATAAATTCCCTGCAGTTATGCCAGAATCATTATCTTCAACAGCATCATTTTCTTGATTCTTATTGCATGTTTCTTGAATGGACTCGGATTTTTGTTCATCCGATCCTGGTTTCTCAGTAGATTTGTTTTTTAACGTTGATGAATCACTCGCAAATTCCTCTTCTTTCAGTTCTTCTTCATTAAGCTCAATTGGCGTCTCTGTAACAGTGAAAGGTGGACTACTTTTAACCACGTCAGTTACGTTATCTTGATCTACGTTAGTAAATTTAGCACTACCCTTTTCTTTTCATTTAGCAGCTGAAATATTTTGAAATAAAGTTGCAGTTATGTCAGAATCATTACCTTCTACAGCTTCATTTCCTGGATTCTTATTGCATGTTTCTTGAATGGACTCGGATTTTTGTTCATCTGATCCTGATTTTTCTGTAGATTTATGTTTTAACGTTGATGAATCATGCGCAGATTCTTCTTCTTTCAATTCTTCTTTTTTTGATACTTCTTCATCAACCTCAGTTGGCGTCCCTGTAATAGTGAAAAGTGGACTACTTTTAACCATGTCAATTACGCTATCTTGATCTGCGTTAATAGATTTAGCATTATTCATATTAGGGAACGATATATTTGTTTTATTTATACTTTTAACTTCAGATGTCCAACAAAGGTACTGTCTGAAAAGAAAACAGAAAAAATAGCTAACTGGATTACATACAGAGCTGACAGATGATTTCCAATAACCAAGACTGTTTTATTAGATAGTGTGCAAAATTATTTAACCAGTTTAAAGAAACAGACACCATTTAAAGATAATCGACCTGGTCGACACTGATATCAAGGATTTCTCAAGCGTCACCGTAATATAGCTCGTCGAATCCCGCCGATCCTACACTCCTTAAATAATGAAATTAGTTTCTCATACTGGTTCTATAGTTATGAACCGTCGTGGAAACAGTCCTTGAATTATTATGCTTTTCTTTTAAAAATTTATTATGTTCATTTTATTTGCAATATAGTTTTTCAACATTTCCCTTTATATCATGCATTTACTTCAATTCACTTTAAAATGTATTATTTGGAATTAGAACATTTTGAAGTGGTTCTATAGTTATGATACGCAGTGTATATACAGGTTATTATAACGAATAAATCAAACTTACCACTAATATCTTTTATGCTTTTCTCATTCACAACATTGCAACTTGCGTCAAAATTATCTTCTGCATTTGACATTGATTCATGTTTCTGGGCTGATTTAAGAGAATTGTTTAAACCTAAAATTGAATAAATACATCAATTGCAAATAAAATTTTTCTTAAATATATACATCAAATCATTAACAACGTTAAATGAAAAAGAAGGAGTAATGTACCCATTTCTTTAACTTCGCTAACATTAGGTAATGTGCGATCTAATGCCACCACTAGAATTTTCATAATCTCTTCTTTCTCCTCTACAACAGTAGTTTCTGAAGGTACTATTGATGTTCGTCTTTTTATCTTATTGGATGTATGTATAAATTCACACTCATTTTTATCCATATGCTTATTTTCTTCAACGCTTTCAGGTTCCATGGAACTGGCTCTGGTATTACGTGTAACTCGCATTGGTGGTGTTTTTGACTCTGAACCAGCTCTTGTAAATCGTGTACTGTAAAAATAAAGTAATACAAACTAATACAAAATTATTTCAACGGTAAGAATTATGTTATGATAATAAATAATTACTACACATACTTTCTTCGATTATCAGTTTTGTTAAACACATCACCCATAATACTATTTCTATTTCTTTTAGTTGGTGTCATAGTATTAGCATCATTTTTTGTATCTTCACTAACATTTGAAGATATAGAATTCATCCTAGAACGTAAGGGCCTTTGTTTTTCAGTTGTAGTAATATTATCCATTGTACCCGTTCGGTTTCTTGTTACTCTTGTCTGGGTATTATTAACGTTACTACTATTACTTGAAAATGATTCGGGTGAGGATTCATTTTGCTTAACTGTTTTAATTCGAGAGCTGCGACGAAGTGATGAATCGACTGCGAGTTCATCAGTTAAACGAGTCTTGCGACCTAATATTTTTAAATAAATATAAAAAACTAAAAATAAACATCGTATAAAATGTAAGATATTTATTTCACACCAGTGTAAAAGAAAAATTGTTATAGTTTATGAAATTGAAAGGTCTGTAAGGGTGAGACCGAATTGACCGTTACAATCAATGATCTGGTGAGTCGCATGGGTGTAAAACCAAAAAACAAAAGATACGAACCGGGCTTTGGATCTACATTTTCTTCTGAATCTCTTGTAGAACGTGGCATTTTCTTTATGAATTAAATCATATATCAGACAGTAATTAATATTAAAAATAAATAACACTTGACATAAAACGAATTACAAACACGTGCTATGCCTGAATTTAAACTGCTAGCTAAACTTCTCAATACACGGTGCGCAGAACATTTGTCGTTGAAAAAGCATGCAGAGACCTCAAGTGACGGGATATTAAAATATTTCGATTTCTGTGACAAAATTCGTTATAAAGTTTTATTTAAAAGTAACTTAAATAATGAAACATCAATTAAAAATATTATCTACATGAAAAATAGCAAAAATCGTTATGCATTATAATTAAAGTAGAAGGTTTTATAATTTTATAACAGTCACAAAATATATTAGCGTAGTAACAAAAATGCGGGAGAACTGTAACGGTTTGGAGCAGAGATGGAATATGGGACGGGTTTTCTTGCGCATGCTAGGCGATTTTAGTATCAGTACAGTACAAGTTTCAATAAAATAGAATACCTTAATCAGCCACCATAATTTTGCAAAAATAGTTATGATCTCATTATAAAAAATGAATATATAACATATACATAATTCACACGTTTCCTTTTTTGGGGGGTATAGGAAAGGGACGGGTACTAAAATAACTGTAAACAAAATATATAATGAAAAATAAAATATTTTATTTGGCAGAATCAATTAAAGAATACCAACATTTGCTGCTAGGAAATAACTGCCAAAGGAAAATTACCAAAACCTTATCAGTATTCACAAAACAAAAGTTACATTTATAAAATCAACATAAATATTAACAGAATTATAAATATATAATTAATAAAAATAAAAAACAATTTATAAAATAATTATAATCCCTCCACCATAGTTGCGCCACCACATAGATACGTCCCTGTAAAAGTCGCGCATGCGCAAGAAAATTCGTCCCATATCCCATCTCCCATCACTGGGTTGGAGCACTATAGAATCTCCATTCATATTAAAGTTTAAACGTTTTTGAAGTTTTAATTATAATTATTTATTGGAATTGAAATTTATAAAAGTTAACACATCTTCGCAGTTTTATGAATGTTGAAAGAATGAATGTTCAGAAAAGCTATTTGAATTTTGTTAATAAAAATAAATTATTAGTGAAAATGATTAATGATTAATTATCGACCTCAATGCCGACCGCCACACTTTCGGCTTGGGGAAAGGTTTTCTCGTAAAAAACATGGTAAAATTAAGTTTTTACAACATTTTCAATTTATTAAGTTAATTATTTTACAAAAACTGTAGTTTTTAACACAAATTGTACCATTACAACCCTTTAATTTAGAATATAAACTTAAAAAAATGAAGACGATAAAGAATTGTTACATTTGTAAAATGGTGATTTACAAATTTAAAGCATTAAATAAAATCTTGAAAGATAAATAAACTACAAACAAATTCTTCAATTTATAATCGCAAATGTTTAAAATATTCATGAAAGAGACTGAAAATTGCCAGTTATAGTTATTGTTTACTGTAACTGGCCTTCAGTCATTTTTTATTAAGAATATTAATGAAGTGCCTACATAAAAATCATGCGATAAGATCCCATCTGCTAGATGACATCAAATTTTTAAAAATTGACAGCGAAAGGAAAAATCATTAATAACTTCTTTTTGACGAATAATTTATGAACTTTTATACTTTTATTTTCTTAATCTACATGCTCACAGCAATTTTCACACACAGGTTTTATAAGGATCCAGCGAGTAATTAATTAATTATAAATAATTATAGGATCGACGGGTCGAACTTACAGCAACGATCACTCTAAAAATTGTTAATAATTTATCAATTACTTACAGGATGCTCAACAAACTGGTATTAGAAGAAAGCTAAGGATGCTATTCTTCGTTGAAGTATGGAAATCGATCACCGGAAAGCAGGAAACTATGAAAGTTCCCCAGCTCAGGTAAGCGGGGTTCGAGCAATCGATCTTAAAATTATTATAATTAATTAATTATTGGCTGGATCCTCGCAAAACCTATATTAGGAAGTTGCTATGGGTATAAAGATTAAGAATCAACCAGACGTCACAGATGTCTTTGCTCTTAACTATTAATTAATTATTTTGACAACCCACTTTCGAATCGAGCTTTACTGGTTACTTAATGAATCGATTCGCTTTAGCGACTAACTGTTTATTTTCCTTAATGGATAGGTGAGGATGCGTTTATGCATGCATACTAACTGTTTATCTATCTATCTATCTATTAATTTCCCTCTAAGGGTAATTAAAGGGTGCGTTTACGGTTTTTTACAGTTGTTCCTAAGGGAAGATTCATGTGTTTGCACTTGACATAGCGTTTCGTGCCGTCGTTTGGGTTTTCAAGTACAATAAATTAACTTTTCAATTTATTTTAAATCTTGCAGTATTATTTATCAATTACCTTCAGTGTTACGATGCACATGAAACAGCAATGTTAATAATCATCTCCATGATTATTGAAAAAGGACAATGTTAATTTTTTAGAGATTTTTTCGTTGCCGAGTATTGAAAATTTTCCTGTTGGTTTGTGATACGGAGGTAAGTATCGGGCCGATCCGAAAATTGTACCTTTTTTGCCGTTCAAAGGAAGGGTTCGGAGATTACTTGCAGAGTAAAAACAACATACTTGAAAACCCAAGCGAATACAGGAAATGCTATGTATGTCAAGTGAAAACATGACACTTGAGGCACGGATACAATCATTCATAGTTTCTGTACAAGCGAATATGCATTTCTTGTTTTTTTTAACATTTTCAATTTTTTAAAACTTCCGAACATTAAAATCACGTTATTTTCAAACATTCTATTTGACGGCAGCGGAGAAATTACAAATATAATTGGTGCACCCCATTTCAGGCAAACTTTGAATCATCGACAACGAGAAACTCTTTTACACCATGATTTTACACTTGTTAAGAAAGAAAAAAATTTGTAAAAAATATTTTTTAAAGTTCTACAGTAGATACTAAGCAACGGACTCCTACAATAAAGAAACAGCATGCAGCAAACCGAAACTTCTCGCCTGTAGCGGCTCAGCCCTATTGCCGTACTGTTTCTTTCAACAAACGAAGAAAAATTATTAGTATTATTTTCATTTTCTAAATTTTACACTGTTTCTTTAAAAATTATTCTTCCAATGTATGAAACTCTTTCGTTTAAAAATTATACATTTAACTTTAGTATTATATCCTTGTATGTGTTTTGTAAGTTTAGATCATGATTTACCCAGGCTCTGTTGTAAAAGGTAAATAAATTACTCTTTAACAATTTATTGACTCAACTTAAATTTTTGCGACCAATGTGATCATAAAGTACCATTTAATATGGATAATCTCACCATAAGGTATCATTTGGCATAGAATTAGGGGATAAAGTTCCGAATGTCCCCGGTCACCGATCAAGATGAGGGGAAGGGCGAGGGGACCCGAAATATAAAGTGGTATCTTCGGCTTCCTATTAGTTTCCGAGATATTAATTAAAAACTTTCGGTACAATAGTTAGAATAATTACTTTTTATTCCTCGATAATTAACTGCAAAGTTCGTGTAGCGTAAGAAAATTTATGTAAAAGTAGAATGTAATTATATTAAGTCGGAAAGATTAACCCGCGCATGTCGAATGCAGTGTCATTCTAACCCAGCTATAAAAAAATAAAATATGCAAAATATAGAAAGGTTATTTATAGAATTTATTCAAAAAATATATTTATAGAAGAGAGTATATTTTTAATTCTCTAAAAAACTTAGTCTTGGAACTTGTACATAATAATATTTTTATTATGGGTCAAAATGGCCTTAATCCAGAATATGCATTTTCCGAGAATTAAAACTAAAATAACAATAATATTAATTTACAGCGTCCGTAGCAAATATATTAAAGGGTCAAATTGGAAATGGTATTTTTACTCTAACTATTTATATAATATTCACATTATTTACATTATTCTAATTGTAAGTTTATCATCAGAAATCAGCAAATTTAACCAGTGTATTATACTCTCATCGCGAATTATAAGAAATACCGGGACTGTAAAAAATTAACTCGAACACACTGTATTTGAAAGCAGAACGCGGAACGAGTAGCAAGGATTTTGTCGCAGCGATTTCCTTGCAGTTGGTTTATACACATTGGATCGCGTGCCCGGTATTACCCTTTCTTATATGTGTCTTGCGTTATGTGCTAACTAATCACTACAGAGGCCAAGGTCGCCACCGACGATCCTCGACTCGTCTCAAGTGGTATACATATAGCGATCGCTCCAGAGATTCATGGTAAAAACACTTTTCCTTTATTGAAAAACTTTATACAGGGTGTTCTATGGTACATAATATCTAGAAAAACGTTTATGTAAACATATCGTTAGTAATTGAAGATTATGACCAGCAAGTGGTACTTACTTTAGACTATCTGAAATACAGAGTGGTCCGAAATTTATTGTTACAAATGGGGTCAGAGTGATTTTATGACTCAAAATAAGACAAAAATCAGGAATAACGAAATTGCGTGGAAGGCTTCGTTTTCGAGAAAGATGTATTTGAACATCAGCTTAAATACGTGTATACCTGATTAACAGCCGATGGTACGGATTATTTTTAAATATGTTCTCGAATTTTATTTGTGGGGAAACGTGAAAAGATTAGTTTATTCTAAATACGTAACTCGAACATTTAAAACGACGAAGCATGGTGGCATGTGAGGAAATAAAAATTTGGGATACGCATTGAACAATGAGACAAAATTTAGTTCGAAGGACAAAATTTTGAATACGAAAAAATGGTTAGCACTTTGAACAATATTTTGCCTTAAAAATGTGAACTAAACAAATAAATAATAAACTAAGCTCAACTAACAATACAATGGTTACTTTATTTAAGTACACGCGTACTTAAACTGATTTTCAAATGCATTTTTCTTAAAAACGAAGCCTCCCACGCAATTTTGTTATTCTTGATTTTCGTCTTATTTTAAGCTATAGAATCGCCCTGACCCCATTTTTAACATGAATTGCGGATTACTCTGTGTATTCGATTTATTACACTATGTTATACACAGCATAAGAAAAATACGGAGAACTATACATCAAAATTTGCATACGTTATAAATGAAGGAGACAGAAGTACAACCTAAAGCTACAATCACATGAGCCGTTGATTTAAATCAATGTAGTATAGACAATACATGAATGTTAAACAGTACATGCAAATATTTATGAGGACTGGACCGAAGGAAGGCGTTGCAGTACTTAGAGGAGGTAAGACAGCGAAGTGCATGTTAACAGGATATTATCCAGTTGCGGCATAGGACCTACTTAAATCTTTAAGAGAAAAGTAGGTTAAGGATCGGCGACGGTGATGGCGTCGTCTGCACTGGTCAAAGCAAGTTCCGGTTTCGTTTTTTGACATATGTAAGTACCGAACACAAGAAGTCCCGCGGGACGGCACAGAGGCCAGAGGAGGTACATACTACGCACACATCGACTAACCCTCTTAGTTAGTTTTACACGAGCCTAAATAATAGATGTAACCACTTCGACCAATCATACAAGGTGATCCTCTCGCTGGGGGACACAAAGGAACTGGCAACAATGAATCTCTTGACCGCACCATGAAGACACACAGAGTCGTCTAGGACCGGGTAGGTCCTCACTGGCACGTGGCAATACGGACCTTTTTATTGTCGCCAGTGTTCCTTTGTGTCCTCTAGCGAGAGGATCACCCATCAGGACCGAAACTACGTATGAGCTGAGATAGGGTACGACCAATTAGATTTCATTATTGTCATGGGACTTCTTGTGATCGGTGGGCAGTATTACTCTGATGATAAGTCCTGCTTCTGTGGCGCTGAAGCCGATATAGTAAGCCATCCCTTTCTTCTTGAATGTCCGCTTTTCGGCCTCCAGAGGGAGGCTCTGTTGAGGACCTCCGTTTCTTCCAGCGTTACAAAATTTATTAATTGCTCTAACGCAAGTGCAGTCATGTTTAGGCTATTTAGAATAATACTAGGATTGAGAAATATCAATACGTAGAATAAGAACTAATAATTTTAAGAATGATACAATAGATGTAAACATGATATTAGTGTAAATGTAAGGACTATATGTATATTCTCCCATGGGACTCGAGAAGCATAGGGAGATTTTTTCTTTAATAAAAAAAAAAAGTTTCTTCCAGCGGTTAAAATTGTCCAGAAACGGCATACTACTTCGTGTTGTTTCGAAAGGTCATCACTTTACTTATTGACTTGTACGCAGTGGCCCGCTGGAACAAGATAACGTTCAGACTACGGAAATAACTTGCAAGAGAGGAGGAGAGGGATAAGCTCATACTAATAGCCTGCCAGGAAGGCAATTTTCCTCTTTCTCACTCTTGGATCTGGGTCTATCCCCCTTGCAAGTTACAGTAATGCCTCCATTTACGCGGATTTATTTTAACGCGCTTGAGCTACTGGAGCCCAGATGTCACCACGATGCGTTATTTGAAAATACAAATTCGGGGATTCCCTAATGTAATTTATTTCGTAATTGCGTGAACTTTTTAAAAGGCTTTAGTTAAAACTTTTCTACCCCAATAAGAGCTAAATACATATTTGAGAATGTGGAATGGTGGTTCCATTCGTGGTTCCATTTACGTGCTGTTTTTGTGGAACGAATTACCTGCGTAAATGGCAGGATTACTGTACTTGCCTAGTCTACACGACATTTAAATGAAGGGTCTTCTAGAGTCTAGAAGACAGAATTTTCCCGAGTTGTCTCCATCTGGGCAATGTCGAAGAATCTGAATATGGTAGCTCAGCCTCCCACTTCTTCGCAGATAATCGTCTTGTCGAGCGATTCTAGGATGATAAATTCTCAAACTACTAATCATGTTTTTCTTTTCAGATATCAGGAAAAGGTTTAAGATCATATTCTTTTTTTGCCTTCTGTTTCAATGTCTCTTTTATTTTATACATCCTAGGGTACGTTCTATTAACGTCCGCGTTTTCAAACGCAAAAACTGAATATTTCTGTAGCTCAGCGATGCTCAAGGGAGTTACGGGCTTTCTCCACTCCGCGTGACAAATAGTCTGTGACAAAAAAAGAGAAATTCTGTTCTATACTTTATCTGCCACAACATATTTGGAGTGGAGAAAGTCCAGTGCTCCCTCCAACATCACTGAGCCAGCGGAATGGTTAGTTTTTGGGGTATATTTTTTACAATTTGAATATTTCTCCGCGCTTCTGTGAATTTCAAAAGTGGCGCAAAAATATGATAACGATAACAATAATATCAATACGTAATTGCAATTACTATAACTTCTAAAAAATTAATCTTTAACTGAAAAAGAAAATGGAAAGCACCGATTTAAGCACCTACGATCAAGAAAAAGTAAAGGGCGTAGGGATGCCGCGGCAGGACCAGTGACGCTGTTGAAACAAACTTCAACACTTTGATACATATCGCATTTATTGTTTAAGTTAATTTTATTTCTCTAACTTCTATACCATTTGTATGAATGTGAATCCATTTAAAATATATATAAAAATGCGAAGTAGAAGTTACTCTTTCAGGTAAAATAACTGGTTTTTCATTTTTTTAACTACGGCGTACCTTAACAAAAGATCTGAAAAAATTCGAAAGTAATAGTCATGCTGATATGTTATTACTAAAATAATATATTTACTACCTTTTTGCTTGGCAAGTTCAAAGTAAACTACGCGCCACGAGCAATTATGCTGACCTGAACTCTGCATACAGATGTCATGGTCGTCGTTCGTGACGTCATCCATGACGTTTTCAGCACGACTAAAATGACCGTGGCCAGTAAGTGGAACACAAACACGGTCATTTCGGGTGTGTGTAAAACGCGCCCTTTATACTCTCCGCCCCAACGCAACGTAGTGATTCTATCACCCTGCGTGTTTCAAAATGTATTTTAAAATTCGGCCCGAACTGAAAGTATAAACACTCTCTCCTATCTCGTCACTTTTATCCGTTATTCTAAGATCTTCCTTATATTTATTTTAAATTAGTACTTTATTTATGATTGCAATCAAAGGTCATTATACATTTCCAATATTTTCTTTTATATCT